ATGCCGTTGACTACTCTTTGAGTGAGGTTCTCCAACCAGTTTCATATCCACCTAACTATCCTAGACTCCAGTTCACAGTCATCTAGTTTACCCATCAGAACATCATAAAGAACCCTGTCAAAAGCTTTACTGAAATCAAGGTAAATAACATCAACAGCATTCCCTTGATCCAGTAAGCTTGTCACTTGGTCAAAGAAGGAAATGAGGTTAGTCTGGCAGGACCTGTTGGGGACAACTCTGTGCTGACTTCCCCAGATCACCAAGTTGTCCTTTAGATGGTCACAGATCGATCCCTTTAAAAATCTGCTCCAGCATCTTCCGTGGGACAGAGGTCAGACTGACTGGTCTATAGTTTCCTGGGTTATCGCTCCTCCCTTTTAAAAAAATTGGGCTAACATTTGCCCTCCTCTAATCTTGTAGCATGTTTCCCATCGTCCAAGAAGTCTGAAAGTGTTAAAAATATTTGTTAATGTTTCTTTGTTTTGGAAGACTCAAAAGAACCACACCAAACACGGTCAAGTTTAAATGGTGTTTATCTAACTATTTACTGGTGAATAATTAAACAACAGTTTGTATATATCTAGAGTTATTTTCAACAGACCAACATAGAACTATTTCAGTTAAACTCTCAGAAAAACCAACTGACAGTGAGGAACAAAATAACTGTCACTCGCAGAATCTCAGTGTACGACTAAGACAGACGCGACAGCCAATCAGACTTCAAGTTTGTCTCACACAGATAAGATTGACAGAGACCCACAGTACACGCCCACATCTCTCATGCTTGAATCTTCAAATTGTCAACTGGTGTAACCTAACTTTACAAATATAAACTTATCTCTGCACTTGTGCCTCTACATTTATAATCTGACAGAAAGATGATGGACAAAGGCTCTGCAAGCTCACTAGAAAGTTCTTTAAGCATTCTTGGGTGCACACTATTTGGCCCAGGGGATCTGTACTCATTCAATGCAGCCAGAATGCTTTGCCTAGCCTACTACCATCTCTAGATGAGCATGTTCTCTTCTTCAGGGAAAAAATTGAGGCAAAATAGGCATTCAGCCTTTCTGCTTTCTCTCTGTCAGAGTTTCTCCATTTTCACCCAACCATGGGCCCATCACCCATTTTATCTTGCATTTGCTCCTGACATATCTGAAGTTTTTCTTGTTGTAGTGAGCCTCCCTGGACACTTTTGCTCACTGTGAGCTTTGGCCTCTCTGATGGCTGACCTATAGTGCCTAGCAACCTGCAGGTACTCTTCTTTAGAGGTATGTCCTTGCTTCCATTTCTTGAACATTTCCTTTTTCTCCCTTAGCACCTCACAGAGTTCTCTGTTCATGCGCATTGTCTTCTTGGATTCCCTACCATGTTTCCTTCTTGTTGGAATTGTGATGGCTTGAGCTTTCAAGAGCTCTTGTTTTAGGAGAGCCCACCCTTCACTTGCTCCTTTCCCTTCCAGCAGTCTTGCCCATGGAATGACTCTCATCATGCCTCTGAGTTTATTAAAGTCTGCCCTACTGAAATCAAACATATATGTGTGGCTATGAACTTCCTTGGTCCCTCACAGCAAAAGGAACTCTATCAGGCCATGGTCACTTCCTCCTAAGATCCCCACCACCCTCACCTCATCTACCATCTCTTGCCTGTTGGTCAATATTAAAGAGATGTTCAGAGGTGGTTTGCCATTGTCTGAGTCTACATCACAACCCTGGTATTCCTTAGAGGTCTCCCATTCAAATACCAACCATGGCCAACCCTACTTAGCTTCCAAGATCTGACAACATCAGCTTAGCCTATGCTACCCTTTAATCACCATGGTCCAAAGTATGCTTACAGCACACATTAAAATAGGATAGTTTAACTTTTTCTCATTCGGAGAGATTTAAAGCAGTCATACATTTGTAGCATGAATGTTACATTTTTGCCATAACTAGACTACAGAGCTTTCTGTTCCTAAGAAGTGTTATTGATTGGGGGAAAAAACCAGGTTAGCATATACTTTGTTGCTTTGTATGAAAACCACAAGCATCATGGGCTGGTCAGCACAAGGATATATTTTGAAGGGCTTGGAAACTGAGATGGGCATGGGGCAATGCTCCCTCTAACCTGTGGAGTCTTGTGAGCAAAAATTCTACTTTGTGAGCTACTGGCATTAAAGTTGTGAGCAAGTGATTTGGCTACTGCATAAATTAGTTTTCTCTGGAGCCATTCTTCCTGAGCTAAGACAAAACTGTGAGTGCTGGAGGCTAAAAAACTGTGAGCTAACTCACACTAACTCAGCTTAGAGGGAACACTGGCGTAGGATATTGTTTATTGTATGTACTATACTGTTACAGTACAATTTTTTAAGTTTGTAATTTGCCTTGCACCTCAGCAAGAAAGATTATGAAGTAAATTCTCACATGTACAAGGATTCTTCTTACACATTCACTGAGTTATCTGTGAACAGAAATTTATAAAATCTCCATTTACGGGAATCTAAATCTACATCATGAGCGTGAAACCAGGCAGAAGGCTGTTAGCCCAAATTAGTTATTGTACAAACTTTGCACATAAAGCAGCCAACTTTTAAGCTAGTCCCTCTAATATCAACTTGATCTGCAGAAATTATCTGGGGATGTCATTTAGCTCCATACCATGGAAAGCGTCAAGGGCCCACTGCTGCATATTAAAATCTGTATTAAAGGAACATGACACTCCCCGCCAGCTAGCAGCCCTTCTTGCACAGGGAACACAGGACCAAGTGTTCATTGTGCTCATTTGTATGCAGTTGAGTAACTACAGGCCACTTGAGGATGGTTACCTGATTTTTAACCACAAGCAGGGAGGGTGGAGCTAGAGGACATCAGGTTTCTAATCTACGTTATTCGAGCTTTGGAGAGCCGTCGCAGGACAGCTCGAACTCGAGTTCAACCCATCCTCCCCCCCTCCCTCATTCGGTGGCCTTCGGCTGATCACTCCCTTTTAACGCCGTGCTAATAATAACCTTCGGCCGGCATCCTCTAGAGGCTGCGAAGCCCGGAGAGACAGACCGTCAAGCGCTGCACAACACAGCGGGATTAGCCGGAGAGAAGGGCACGCCGCCGGGGAGGGGACAAGAGCCACTCCATCTGCGAGGAAAGGTGGAGGGGGGGGGAGCCTCCGTCCAAATCGCCTCACGCCCGAACTCCTCCTCAGCCGCTGAGGAGGCTCCGAGGGAGACCCGCCGCCGCCTCTCCTCCTCCCACCCCTTCAGCCGGTCCTGCCGTGACGCCTCCAGAGTGCGCGCAGCCGCAGCAGCTCCCGGCGACTGTTGTATCCGGCCGGCGCCTTTTTCTCCTCCTCCCTTTCCCCCTCCCCCTTTCCCCGTAGAAACTGCCGTTGCTGCCACCGCCGCTGTTGCTGTTCTCCCTTCCGGCCCTGCCGTGACGCCTCCAGAGTGCGCGCAGCCGCAGCAGCTCCCGGCGACTGTTGTATCCGGCCGGCGCCTTTTTCTCCTCCTCCCTTTCCCCCTCCCCCTTTCCCCGTAGAAACTGCCGTTGCTGCCACCGCCGCTGTTGCTGTTCTCCCTTCCTCCCCCCCCCTTTTCCCCCTTCACCCGGCGGCGCCCCGATCATAAGCTCGCC